GCTGCCGGGGGTTGGGCACGGCGCAGAAGAAGCGGTGCCGGGGGTGCTTCGGCGTCGAAGCCCCGGCGCTCTGACAGGAGGAACTGCAGAGGGAGCCGCTGACGACAAAAATGGGCATCGCCTGCTTTACCCAACAAGCTCTCGGCTTCCTCTGCGCTGGGGCAGGATTGACCCCTTGTCCTTCCCCCGTCAGAAGGGCAGCAGGGCAACACTGATTTCTGGGCATGGTTATCTGAACTGCGCCGCTGCTTGGCAGCCTAACGGCCGAGATTGTCCGAAGGCTGGGGACGTCTTGCGAGAGGGCCATCCATGAGGAGAAGGGAAAAGCCGCGTAGAGTTCCTGAAGCATCTTGACAGGGCAGGTGCTCTGAGGCAGATCATCTCTGAGGCTGGCGAGGGGGGGGGGCGCACACACACAAATCCATATATAATATTAAGTAGCACTCTGAAATATCTCCCTCTCATGGGGTATTCTGTATGCAGTTGGGAGTTTTTAGTGTTTAAATACAGTAACCAAAATACAGTACAAACACTAAATAGTCCAACAATACACAGGGTTGGAACCAGGCTTAGTCATACTTACAGTAAAACCCCTCCCTGGCCGTGAATGGCACTTAATTTAGTGATGAACTCTTGTCTCCTTGATTTCAGTAGTTCCGCTCTTAAGTTTGGATCCAAGGTAAATCATAATGTTAAAGAGTAGCAATCAAAACATTGGCACTGGTTATTTATACCAAAGACTGTACACAATATTGCTACTAGTACGGTAATTCTCCCTGCTGTCTGCGCTGTGTGTATTTAATCTGAGTTTGGGGCACCCATTTACACAGACTACATGCTGGCACTGCCCTGATCCTATACCTGTTTACTTAGAAGTGAGCCCCAGTGGTTTATTCTCATAGGATTAACTGAACTGAAGAGTCCCTAGTGTAGATGTAGTCAGTGGATAGAAGTGTATTCTAACTACTGACAGAGTGAGAGACTGGGACTCTGGAGAATAGGGTTAAAATCCCCACTTGGCCATGGAAACTCACTGGGGAGATGGTAAAACCACTCCTTAAATATTTCACCTTGAGATATAGGGTCACTATAAATTGGCTCCAACTTGACAACACTTGAATTTAATGTGCACTATAAACAATGGGACTTAAGGTATTAAGTATGTCTTCTTGATTTCAGTGGAACCCAAGTTCAACTGAATTTGTCTGGTTCAAACAATAAATTTACTATTCCTCCTACTGTTCAGAGTACTGTATTACTATTGTGAAGGATAAAACTAGTGTTGGGAGGTACTAGTGAATATAGCAGCCTTCTTCAGATTGACAGTCTTCAAATATACTGGAAAGCTCTCTCTGCTCTTATGAGCTCTAGCCAGTGTAGCTGTTATAGCCATTATAGTGTAGTAGTTAGGATGTTACACTGGGACCTGGGAGATCCAGACTTGTTCCACTGCCATGGACACCCTTGGTCCAACCTCCCTCCTTCTGTCTCACTCTTTCTATCTGCTTGACTTATCTCACAATACTGTAAGGACAAAACAAGGGTGAGGACGAGCCATTTAAATCTTGAGCTTACAAGAGGAAAAGCATTGGCACTAATTATGAATGAATATATAAGTATTCTAATATGCATACAGTCAATTCACACTTTGTATATTGCATTGGACTCCTGAATTACATTCCATGGAATATCTACACATTTACTTTTAATTTGATGAAGCATAATGAGATGGAACCCCTCCCACTATACAGCAGCATCACCATACTTAGGAAACCAAAATTAGACTCAGAGATAATGCAAAAAAGATGGCTTCTTAAGGTAGCAATGTTTCCCAGAGATAAAGATGGCTTCTTAAGGTAGCAATGTTTCCTTCTGTTCCATTTCAATCTATGTCTTGCTCACAGTGTGTGCCCATTACTAGTTCCAGTCTGACCATAATATATGCCTGTCTGCTCCTAGAGGGGGCAGGTAAGTGTGTGGTGATACTGGTACCTTTTTGGCTTCTTCCATGACTTTCACTGGAAGTGTGTCCATGGTGGAGCTGGAAGGTGCACAGTGATTCTTTGCAAATTGTGCCCTTTGTCCATGAATAGAATTTGTGCTCATGTGGATACAGCACCATCTTGGAGATGCCATTTTCCGTTAACTGACACCCACTGGCTAATAGAACAGACAAAGGGAAATGGCCGTCTGTGGATTTTGCCTCAAGAATCCCAAATGTGATTTGGTGAACAACATGAAATAAATGAAGAGCAGGCTCTTGGCGTGTATGTGGGATACTGCAGTGGAGTAACCTTGTTCTGTTATTGTTGAAGGACTACGCAAATGTTAACACAGGTAATTTAATATGCATATACCCTGTTTTCCCCAAAATAAGACCTAACCTGTAAATAAGCCCTAGTGTGATTTTTCAGAATGCTCGTAATATAAGCCATACCCCCCAAAGAAGCCCCAGTAAGTGAAACACTGCCCTCCACCAGTATGCAGCAACCAGAAGATGACATGACTGTATTTGAATAAATGTAAATTGTTGTACGTGAAAAAAATAAGACATCCCTAAAGTGTTGTTTTTTTTTTTTTGAGCAAAAGTTAATATAAGAACCTGTCTTATTTTCAGGGAAACACGGTATTCATCGAATCAAATAATAAAACAGCCACGGGTGGAAGAAAAAAAGTCTTTGTCCAAAGTAAGATCATGGGCCATTAGTAAATATGTATCAACAATTAGCTGTACCCCAGGTAGTTCAGTACCACTTTTTTAAGGGTTGGCAGCTAATTTCTCTTTTTTCCAAGCACTTGCATGGGAGGGGGTATGACTTATTACAGCTCCCACCACCCTTTGTTTTACTCGTCATGCTGGGTGGGGATAATAAAAGGTCCAAACATTCCATACCTATGCAGTATAGAAACACATCTATGTGGGAAGCTGATGTGTCCCTCTTTTAAAAAACAATTAAAAAAACTACTTTGATGGTAAGCACTGTCATATCATGCCATTATTAATTTCCAGATTTCAGTGCCACGAGGTGTAATTGATGTCTGCTAACTTAAATGGCTGACAAAAGGAGACCAGTTCATGGAGGACGCACCTGCCAATAGCTGTTAGTTTTAGTAACTTGCATATACATACATACAAGTTTAGTAACTTGCATATACATACATACATACATAC